CCACCATCCAGTCAGAGCTGAAGAAGCTTCTTGGATGAGAAGCAAAACATCTTCAAAGAAAAAACAAAGTCCAGTTGCCTCCTGAAAAAGCACCTTTGGGACAAGAGCAGAATAACACTACTACAATAAGATTAACAAAATAAAATAGATCAAAGGCAAATAAAGAAAGACATAATTATATCAAACTGTTGCTGGCAAGGTTTTAATGAATTCTGCCAGCTTTTAAAACAGAATTTGGCAACATTATTAAGAAAGTATATCATTCTGTTTGGGTAACCAACGGAAAAAGAGTCAGTGCACAGACACCATCTAGTATTCCAGACAACGTGCAGGTGGGCATCCTGATGTGGACAAGTTCAGTAATCTAATGATCTGTACAGGAATAGTTGTCCTTCTGAAAAGCTCTCCTTGTAATTTTACTCCAGGTAACATTTGCTAACCCTGTTCTTCCAACAACAGGTAAGACCCTCAGTGTTAAAGTGATGACTGATCCGGCTGGGAAATCCAAAGGTTTTGGCTTCGTGAGTTTTGAAAAGCATGAAGAGGCCAGCAAGGTATAAACTGTGAGGCTCCCATGTCGATAGTCAGTCTGGCATGATCTGTTTCTGAACTGAGAAATGGAGCTCTGGTGAATGTTGCAGAAATAAAATGAGAACAAATCCCTTTATTTTCGATTTTCTGTCAGATGCCTGTTGGGATACAGCACAGGGCATGTCTGTGGGTAGTGGCCGTTCCCATTTTATTACCAAAGGGCAGCTGCTCCACAAATCAGGAGCCTCTGAACTAGCAGTCTGGGAATGGCCTTAGCCTTGCCTTTCAATGGGAGAACTTAGAAGGCTGTTCAGTTAAATGAGGACTAGAGGATCCTGTGATTCAGAGAAGAACTGAAAGTCCCACATTTATCCAAGGTCTGTCAACACTTTGAACTTGCTTCAGGTTTTAGCTTGTTGATTGCAGAGGTTATTAATCCCAAATTAACGTTGGAAGATGTAATAATAATCAGCACCATGTGCCTGAGGAAGACTCCATGTCTGCAAGGGGTTTGCTGCTTTGAATTCTTTTACAGGCAGTAGAAGAAATGAATGGAAAAGATATCAATGGGAAAATTGTGTTTGTGGGTCGTGCACAGAAGAAGGTGGAGCGGCAGGCAGAGCTGAAGCGCAGGTTTGAGCAGCTGAAGCAAGAGAGGATCAGTCGTTACCAGGTATTTCGCCTCTGGAGACAGCCCAAGACTGTTGTTGGGACAAGCGAGGTCATGAATTTGTGCTCTGCTGAAGCTTGAAGCTGCTGGATTAGCAGCCCTGTGTGAATTCTGAGTTCCTTTAGGACTCCCCAAACTCCCTCAATGGGAGGAGTAGAAGCAGGACCAAGGAATGGCCTAATGGAAGGTGCACCTGAATCTTTCCCAATCCTGGCTGTGCAGTGCAGGCCTGGGGACAAATGGTGCTACAGAAACGCACAGCAAATCCAGGCAAATTCTCTCATAAAGAAACTTGTCTCTACAGCTTTGCAACATTGAAAGTTTCTTTCTGCAAAGGACGTGACATTCCTAATTTTGTATTACAAATGAAAGCAAATACACACGTCCAAGGGTAATGTTGCAGGATCCAATCTGGGTGAGGATTCACATTCTGCTGCAGAGACGTTCCCTGAGGATGGGCTCCAGCATGAGTCCGAAAGCTTGGAAGACTTAACCTGTGACTGACCCAGACTGGATCATGCAATTTTATATTTGTCAGAGGTCTAGGCTGACCAACTCCAAATGACTGTGTAACTGATGGCATGTGTGGAGGTGATTGTCGATAGAAAAGAAAATCCTGCTTTGCTCATAATCAATTGAAACATCACATTTTGCACTGTTGCCATCTCATGCCAATGTCCCTGTCCTCTTTTCAGGGAGTTAATCTCTACATCAAGAACTTGGATGACACAATTGATGACGAGAAGCTGAGAAAGGAGTTCTCTCCATTCGGATCCATCACAAGTACTAAGGTAAAGGCAGCAGGAAATTAAGCAGATATCGAGCGAGGGTCTCCCAGCTAGGACTCCCTCCAGTTGAGCCAAGCATTGCCTGAACTGCTCTTAAGACCTGCATACCTGTGTGGGACTCACTTCTAAGCCATTTGCCCAAATAAGGCCTTAGAACTATTGTGACAAGGAATGGATGAATGAAAGTGGAACATCTGACTCTTTTGTAGAAATAAAGCATGTACATGGAAATCAGATGTAAAAAACTTATGAGGGAATTTAGTTCTGCCATCATAGTTAATAAAATAGCTGGGCCCCAGGGACAAGAAATTAAGAATTTGAACAGACTTGCCAGTTCAGCAAAAGGTAGTCTCAACTTGTGACCTCAATTAATAGAGCCTTCTCATTACAGTTGTAAGTTGGGATGGTTCCAAAATCAGTTTGGTTGAGTCATGTGACTAACCCAACTTTATGGCCTTTTTGCAAGGGTCATTAAGTAAATGACCCCATAGTGAACCAGTGGTTTTGCCCATACGAGCTAACACTTCACTATGTATGTGCATGGTTTTGCCAAAAATCAGAAGTAAATGCTAGTTTTCAGCAAAGCGGTTGTAAGGTGGAGTCACCTGGCTGCGAACAGCTGTCAGTGCAGGCCGATTGCTGACCATGTGACTGCGGGAGGAGGGTGACCATCATAACTTCCCATCAGGGTTAAAAATAGGCATCAGGTAGGTCCGTTGTAACTTCAAATGGTCACTGAGCAACTGGTCATAAAGAGAAGACCACCTGTATCTTTAAAATAACTCACATGTGGGATTTCTGCTTTTTAAATAAATAAATAAAAAATCAGTCTCTCTTGCTGTGACCAAAACAGTGCCGATTTTTAAAAGAGAATCTGGGAAATATATTCATTCCTAATTCTTGAAAGAAATAATCTTCCACACAACATTTCTAAAACGTGCCGCGGGGGAAGTCTTGCCGGTTAAGAATCCGTGTTGCAGGGAGCCTCCCGGGCAGTGAACCAGGCACTTGGGAAAGGGGAGGCCACCCGGTCTCCCAGGGCTGACCCTGCCTTCGATCAGGGCCAATGCCGTTCCCGTGTCTGGCCGAGGAAGAGTGAGGAGCGGCGGGTCTGGGGGATGCAAAACTGCTTTGGGGTTGCTCAGCGCTGCTGCTGGGCGTTGTGCAAGAAGGGCAAACTCTGGGAAGTCCATGTTGAGGTGTTTCTCTTCCTGCAGTATTTCCCCGGGTGAGGCAAGCAGCAACAGCATCAAGGACTAAGAACTGCCAGCCCTTTTCTCAGTCCCTGCCTTTCATTAGGTGATGCTGGAAGATGGTCGAAGCAAAGGCTTCGGCTTCGTCTGCTTCTCCTCCCCAGAAGAAGCCACCAAAGCCGTAACTGAGATGAATGGGCGCATTGTGGGCTCCAAGCCGCTGTATGTGGCCTTGGCCCAGAGGAAGGAGGAGCGCAAGGCCCACCTCACCAACCAGTACCTGCAGCGCATCGCCGGCATGAGAGCTCTGCCAGCGAACACCATTGTCAGCCAGTTCCAGCCGGCTTCCGGAGGGTATTTCATGCCCGCTGTGCCCCAGGTGAGTCCTCCGCACAGTTGTCCTTTCGGGGGGTGGGGGTGTCTCAGAGGTCCCACCCTCCAGCCCCTACCAAAGCAGGTGGTTTCTGTTTCCCACAAGGGCTAAAATTCATGGGACCCTTATAGCTGTCTTTTCTCTTTCACAAAGGTAGATTTGCTGCTGGAACCCCTTTCATTTGACCAGGGAGCGGATTCTTAGCGATTCCGGTTGTAGACAGGCTTAAATGATATTGTTCTCTCAGGGAATGGCATAGCCGGCATCCAAATGGAGTCAGAGACACTGACAAGAACCATTAGTTTTATATAAATAAATATACAGTATTTACAGTAAATAAGCTCATCTGGTAACAGTGCTGGTACTTTGGGGTATTATCTTAACTAATTAAATTCCTTATTGGCTGTCAGAAAATCCTGAAGAAGAAAATGGTAAAACAAGAAAGCTAAAATTTAGCCTGGGGGAGAAGTTCGTTGTGAACATATTTTTAACAATATTTGAAGTAGCAGTCTTGGTAGTTTAGCAGGGCTAAAAAACCAAAGCGAGGTATGGCATCAGAGTTTGTGATGTTGTGCAATTTATCACTCCCTTTTTTTCCAGGGATTAAGGCAGTAGTATTGTAAGGGCAATGAATACATGTTACTGGACTGATCCTGTTGCAACCCCTTTTACTTTCCAGGTTCAGAACAGACCCACATACTATGCACCTAACCAGATAACTCAGATGAGACCCAATCCACGCTGGCAGCCAGGAGGAAGGCCTCAAGGTATGTGTGGAAGAGCAGTTTGCCCTTAGAAGCCCCGACCCCCCCCACCCCCGTCTCTCAGGACCCTTGTAAGAGTGTCATGTAGTTGCCCATAAAGGGCAACTAAGGATGTTTTCTAGGGGTGTCACACAGGCCTGGTTCCAGGGATGACTTCCCCTCCAATTTTAACTTAATAAGGCTGTTCTAATGTAACTGGCCAATAACTTGTTCCCTTCTCCTCCCATCCCATTTCTTGAAAACCAAACTAGGCTTCCAAGGTATGCCCAACAGTATGCGCCATTCTGGGCCGCGGCCAACACTGCGGCATTTGGCTCCCACAAATACAGCTCAAGCATCCCGTAGTTTGCCTGGTGCTTCCCAGAGGATTGGTAAGCATTTTGCTCAGATGTTCCCATGGGATCTTTTCATTTATTTATTAAACAAATCTAAATTTATAATTTAGACGGGCATAACATTTGCCACAAATCTTTTGAATGAATGGACGAATGAATGAAAAATATACAATTGTCTAACCAAGAATCTTTGGAATTGCAACTTCCAGACTTTCCAGCCAACTCAGCTAATGTGGTGGTTGGGAACTTGAGTTGTGTGTGTATTGGGGGTGTGTGTGTGATATTTAGGGAAATATTTAGGGATATTTTCCCAAAATATTTAGGGAAGGTATTAAGCTGATGACGAAGGTTGCCATATTGTAGCAGAAGCTTTTTCATTCAACCAAGATATCAGTAAAGGAAATAATAGATTGGCATTCAAATAAACTGCCTGGACTGTTGCTAGTATCAGTTTAAAACATGCTTACATGAAATAAAACATTTGCCTGTGGTTCCTCAAACAGGATTAATGCATGTTAAACTTCTCTAATAAGTTTCTGAGCTTATTTATAAATACTATAAATAAAATATCTTAAAATGAAGAAGACAACATCTGCACCATCTTCAGCATCATCATCTGCCACTTCTAGCCCTGCTGGGCAGAGAACCCTGGTTGCTATGATACAACAGGAGAAAGACCAATGTCATGCAAGCAGAATTGTAAACCATGATACAAGCTCTGCATGAGGACTTGAAGGAAAGAATAGGGAAAGTAGAAGAGAAAATAGGAAAAGTAAAAGATAAAGTAGAGAAAGTGGAAAAAAATAGAGAACTTCCAACAAATGATGGCGAAAAATGAACAACATATACAAAAAGTATAAACAACAGAAAAAAAGCCAAACTAACAGAAAAAGAATGGGAGAGCTTAATTATAGACTCACACTAGCAGATCAAAACAAAGAACGAACAATAATATCATTTGAAATGGATAGGGCAGATTATTATTTGAGATTCCAGAACATGAATCAAGAAAAGGGAGAGAATTTAGCAGAAATAATGGCAGAACTGTTGGCGGGCCTGGAGGTGCCCAAAGAGAAAATTTCGGCTGAAATCGATGAAATATTTAGAATCCACACTAGATACACGACAAGAAGTAGACTTCCTAGAGAGGTCCACTTGAGATTTACTAAGAAAACAACAAAAACAGAGATTTGGCAGAGAGAAAGAGAGAGAGAGATGATTCCTTAAAATATAAAGGGAAAGAAATCGTAGTTTAAGACAAATTCCAAGAAGAGTTAGAGATCTAAGGAAGGAATACCAGTTTTTGGCAAAGATACTGTCAGTTAATATAAATGGACTGAACTCGGCAATAAAAAGGAAAAGGACCTTTAGTAAATTAGAAAAATTAAATTTGGACATAATTTGTTTACAAGTCCACATCAAAAAACAACATAACAAAATATTGAAATACCCTAAAATCGGGAAGAGAAAAAAGTAAGAATTTAAAAATGCTACAAGATACAAGAATTAGAGGTAGTTTTGAATTACCAAACTGGGAACTATACTATCAGGCCATGGTGTTAACATGGATGAAAGAATGGATTGTATTGAAGAATACAAGATTATTAATTTTGGAGGGGCATGACTTACAACTGGGTTGGCACCCTTTTTATGGTATGGGAAAAGTAAGATACATGGTTACTTGCAAAGACACCATATAAAAAATGCTTTACTATTAATATGGGATAAAATTAGATCACAGCACTATTTGAAGATACCAGTTTGGCTTTTGACAATGGAAGCATTCACTCCTCCAAATATTATTAACATCGGAAATACTGTTAGATACAAAGATGTTTTGAATTAAAAGGGTGAGCTCAAAACTGAACAAGAATTAAATGAGCAAGGGAACGATATGGTTTGTATTCATATGTGCAAATACAGTCTAGATACGAAAAAGATGCTAAATTGGATGGATTTTATAAAGAATTGACAGAATTGGATAAAATACTGATAGGAATAGAAGAAAAACATAAACTGTATAGTAACTTATTAAATATTAAATTGGAAGAAGAACAAGTGAAGGAGACAATGATAACATGGGCAAAAAACTTTGGTTATACAATAGAACTAGATAAATGGCAGGGATTGTGGGATAGAAAGTATAAGTTAACAATGTCAACTGCAGAAAACTTATATAAGATGTTCTATAGATGGCATTTTGCACTGGCAAGTTTGGCAAGGTTGTTTAAAGATAAATCAGCTAAATGTTGGAAATGTTACCAGACACCCGGATCATATTACATTACTTGTGTAGAAGCCAAAAAATATTGAACAAAAATACACACATGGTTGGAAAAGATACTGCAACATATTGATTTAAAACCTGAAATATTTTTGTTGGGTATTTTACCTGTTGGGGATTTTACATTTTTAAATGTATATAATGTATATATTAAATGTATATTTAATCATTCGTGTATTAACTGCAGCTAGGATTTTATTTGTACAAAACTGAAAAAGTGAAGAGATTCCGATTGATGAGAAGGTGATTAGGAAAATATTAGAATGTGCAGAAATTAATAGGCTAACACTTGTAATTGAAGAGAATGAACAAAACGAATACTATTTGATATGGGAATATTTTTATCGATGGTTGGAGAATATGGGAATTTGAAATTAAAAAAGATAAGTGAAGTATAGAAAATATGTTAATAGAGTTAAATATGTTACGATAGGTATGGTTACTACAATTAGACATACTATGTATATCAGTAAGAATAGAGAATCAATACCAATACAATGAATATAGGTCAACTGTAATTGTTATTGCACAAGATATTATTGTACCCGGACAACACACTGTTTAAATGGAAGATGGATTTTTTGTTTTAAAATAAAATAAAAAAACTGGGAGAAAAAGATTAATGCACGCTAATGAAGTTAAACTTCTCTGATCAGCTTCTGATCCTCCACAATTTCTCTGCCTAAACAGGGGTTGCCGCCACGGCCCCAAATCTGGTTCCTCGGCCACCTGTAGCCACCCAAGCTCCCAGGGCTGTTCCACCCTACAAATATGCTGCAGGCATCCACAGTCCCCACCCAGCAGTCCAGCCTTTACAGGTAACGCAAAACCTTGGAGGAACCCTGGCGGGTCTGGTGCCTGATTTCAACTCACAGCAGCCCCCGGGCTAAGTCTTTGGGTTTTAGACAGAAACAGGAATTGTATTTCTTCCTTCCTAGTTGAGACATTCCACATTAATACCAAAAAAGGCAGGTTTTTTTCCTCCACTGTGAAAATGCAGCAGTTTTCTGAGTTCCAACTAAGTACACTTTCTACATCTGAGCAGCAAATTACTTTCTGACCTACAAAGCCAAAGTTCTGTTTCTTGAAAAGAATGGTGACTCTTGTGCACATAGGCACGTTCTGACAGATGTAAACCACCCAGCCTTGTGCCTAGTAATCCAAAGAATTATTTCATGCTTGTTGGTGTTGTACTTTCTCTGGCATAACATGCCCAGGAGAGCAGGAGTTTTGATTCCAGGTAAGGGTTTCTCAACCTCAGCGCCTTTTAGACAGGTGGACTTCAACTGGCTGGCGTTGCTGGCTGGGGAATCCTGGGAGTTGAAGTCTACCCATTTTAAAGGTGCTGAAGTTGAGAAACACTGCTGTCAAGTCATTCCTGGGGGCTTTCAAATAAACTGATTGGTAGCAGATGTTGCCCTTTCAGATAAAATATCGGGGAACAATCTCAAATCATTTAGTGTGTTTTAATCCTTGGTGTTGCTTTTTCACTTGAATGAGCCGTTTCCTCAGCTAAAGGAGAAGCCTTTTTTTTTTTAACTTTGGTGAGGAAAGGATGTCCTCTTCTTGAGTATTTTATTGTTCACGTATATCTTCTAAATTTGGTAGAATTGTTTGCATGACCTCTTTGTGAGCTGTGCTAATGGCGGAATCCCTGGTTTCCTCACAGGCCCCGCAGCCTGCTGTTCACGTCCAGGGACAAGAGCCCTTGACGGCATCCATGCTGGCTGCTGCACCCCCCCAGGAGCAAAAGCAAATGCTGGGTGAGCCTGTCCCCCTCTCGTCTCTCCCTTGGGGATTTTAAATTCCTTGCGCCATGCATCTAGAGGGTTTTCAGCATCTGCATGGCTCTTCTGCCCTAGCCATAGGTGCAAAATCGTTATGGATGGGGGGTGGGGGGAGACAAGGAAGAAGTCTCCCTGAAAAGTGTAGGAATCCTAAACTCGCGCGTCCCCTGGGCAACGACAGAGTCAGCTAATTCTTCCACAATTCTTGTGATCCCCTGGCTTAAAACACAGCACTATGAGAAAACCTCAGGATGCCACGTGCTAAATAAAATAGTCACCAACTCTTTTGATGTTTGCTTCTTCAGGAGAACGTCTCTTCCCGTTGATCCAGGCAATGCACCTCAGTCTGGCAGGGAAGATAACTGGGATGCTGCTGGAGATCGACAATTCAGAGCTGCTACACATGCTGGAGTCTCCAGAATCCCTCCGCTCCAAGGTAAGCACTAGCGGTCACCAATCCTGGGTCAGGAACGTTGGCTGCTCTCTATTTCTGCTGCTTGTTGGAGTGTGACCATCAGGGAGGGCCACAGAGCTCTTCAGATCTCAAGTGCAGCTTCTTCAGGGAGCCACTGACAGGAACACCCGCACAAGATCTGAAGCACTGTTACTACTTTATTGAATTATTCAGCCACATTTGCACACTGGGTACTCATACAAGGGGTAAGGTAGCTGGATTTCCCTCCCACAAATGTAATTTCTCTATCCCAGGTGGAGGAAGCAGTGGCGGTGCTACAGGCTCACCAAGCAAAGAAGGAAGCTGCCCAGAAGGTGGGCATCATTACTGCTACCTCGTAAACCAAGCATGCTAGTAAGTCCCTGAGTCCTGGTCCATGACTTTGCTGATCAGCCGTATTGCTTTCTTGACCGGTCCGTGGTCTCTCTTGTGTGGAAGAGCAGCAGCATCAAGATAGTAAATGTGGTTTGACTAGCAGGGTACCTGTGCTTCGCTACGATACTAGGTGATCGGGCAAGTTTTTGGAGAGGAAAATAAGGGGAAAAATTGTGCCTCTGCCTACCAGCTGTAAGCAACGGACTTTTCCCCTTCACCCGAAAGAATGAACTTCTGAACGCGAGGTGTTTCAAAAGGAATTCTTTATTGTAAGGAAGTGAATCCATTACTAGTCAAAGCAGAATCTAAGATGCCTCCAGGCATACAGTAATAGATAAAGGGAGTTAGAACCCCTCCCCTTATTTAGATGATGATTTAGTCAAACAAAGAACCAACATGTTCATTCCCCCCTCCCCTTCTCTGGGAACGGATCTTAGAAGAGGTTCCCAGGGAGTATCTTCCAGAGCTGGAATTTTTATGGTCCTTTCTCTTCTTGCTATCTCTCCAAGAGGTGACAAGTTTCTAGACATCTGGCTCCAGTCCTCCAGTTGTGTATCATGTGCAAGTTATACAGATTCAATATAAGATTTAATATATTCAGGTTACATCAAAAAGGATTACTTGTACCAACTTCCATTCTTCCATTGAAGAATGGCAGATACACGGATCTGATACCAGCATCCATCTGGCTAGCATCCTGTCAGCGTATGAGAGAGTTGAGGGCTGTTTGGAAAGTGAAACAGTATTTGCTGTGTGAGCAAGGAGACAGCAAGGAGTCTGGGCTGGCTTAGCTGAACTGCAGTTGGAAGAGATTTCTTTTCAGGTGGGGAGGGGGAGTAGAACTCCTTAGCATCGGAGTGTGTTAATAATAATAATATACAAAATATTAATGCTCTGATGGTTATTTCAAAAAATCCTTTCTTAGTGAGCATCTAGAAGCCAAGAGGAACATACGTGCCAAATTTCAAGTTTGTAGGCTTTACGGTTTTGGAGATTTTGTGATGATGCGTGAGTGGTATTTCACTTTTATATGTATATAGATTTCTGAATACTTTCCTATACTTTCTGCTCATGAAAATGAGTGGGAGCTGTTCCTCCAAATACATTATTCATCGACCAGACTTCTGTCATTTAAGAAAATGTCACAATGAATTTCCAATTATTTAAATAATTATTCACAATTTAGAATTTTCCTCTATTCAAATTCATTACTCAATTCCATAGAATTGAGTAGAGTCATCCTAAAATTCGCTGATTCTCTCTGGAACTCTAGAAGAGGGATGCTGTCTCCCTCTGTCTCCAGCAAGCAACTGGGAAGCTCCCAGGCAGTTGGTCCAGTATCTAAAGTGGTCTTTCTCTTCCTAGGTCTTGTAAAGAACAAATGGACTCTGAAGAAATCATTTCATTCTGCATATTTCAACATTTCTCAACAATTTTCAGTGTGTAAAGCTCTTAATATGCTTCATTTAAAAATACTAAAAAAATCAAATTCCATATGCAAGGATTTATTTTCCTGGCCAAGAGGTGGACATCTTGTCTTTCCTTGTGGGATAATGACATTTTTGGACTTGATTTTAATTAGACAATCCCATTTGCAAAGTCAATAAACAGAAGTATTTTATGAAATTGCTGCCTGTCTTTTTGCAGTCATTGAGGGGATTCTGAGGCAGTCCCATTGAACTGAATGAATTGAAACTTTTCAAGCGCTCTTCTTACATGGGAGTCATAATCTGTGAGTAGCACAACTCTCGAGAATTAACTAGTTATAGATTTTCTAGGAAGTGCTTCCTGATCATCTCAAGCCACCTTAGCAAGTTATGTGAGGAAAGTGTAAGAATACTCCAGTGTTATTTGTCCTACAATCAGGGGTGGGATCCGACAGGGTTAACTACCAGTTCGGTCATTTACGAGGTTCGGTGATTTATGATGTCCTTCCCTGCACACTGCCAGTGGGTGCCTGTAAATTGTCATCAGCATGCTGTGTGCAGAGGAGCAGCCTTTCAAAAAGCCCTTTGCACGGCAGTTGAAGTTGAAAAAATCAGGAAATTAAGGTCAGGTAAGAGCCCAGGTGGGCAGGTGGGCAAAAACATCAGCAGACATAGAACTGGTTCTATGTCTGCTGTTCTTCAGAGCTACCGGTTCTACAGAGGTAGACAGAACCGGTAGAATCCCACCCCTGCTTACTATTCAGGAAAATACTAATCAACATACAAATCCTTTGAGTATATCCAAGATCTTGGGTGCAAACAAAATCTGAAGAGAAAAAAACTTCAGTGGCAAATTTATACAATGTTCTCATTTAGTAATTTCTAAACTTTTTTTCTCAATTCATGTGCAATGATCTGATAAAAAACCTTTATAATCTCTTTATTGAAGATTTTAATTAAGTAAGGAAAAAATTACGTTAGGTCAGATGAAAGGCCAAAATACGCTTGCATCCTATTTGCTGTTGGGGTTTGAAAAGCGTAGCTGTTTCCTGCCGTGACTGAGCACCAGCAACCAAGGCCGGGAGGCTTCTCCATCTCTCCGTGGGCACCTCATCCTCTCCACACCAGCTGTGTTGACAGGTGTCACACCCTGTGGCAGCCAAATTGGAACAGCATGGGACACTCAAAACTACGCACGCACGCCCCTAACTACCTCAATTCCAACTACAACTGGCCTTAAATGCAAGCTACTCAATGCAAGAAGCCTTGTGAATAAAATACCTGAATTTCTCCTCTTACTAAATATGGCTAAATTCGACATCATATTTGTCTGTGAAACATGGCTCAATGCATCTCTCCCTGACTCCATTACCACAGTAAGAGACTATCATGTTTACCGATCAGATAGTGAAATCCGTAGAGGAGGTGGCGTTGCTATCTTCTATAAAAAGTCCTTACATCTAAAAAACATCCAAGTTACCCAGGAGCTTGCTCTTCCTGAGACCATCATCTGTGAACTGTCCTTAAATATCACATTTCGATTCTTACTATGTTACAGAGCCCCTGATTATGACATCGAACATGTAAACAAGCTAAATTCACTACTAACATGGGCAACATCCTGCCCATACGCTTTTATCTTTCTTGGTGACTTCAATGTACCTCACATTAACTGCACCCTAAACGAATGTAAAACAGAACCCAAACATGCAACCTTCTACAATGCTATAACAAACCTGGGACTGGAACAACTAGTAACCAACAATACTAGGCTTAACAACTGCCTCGATCTCATCTTCTACAATAGTTTGAATTCAATTTACGGAATACAAATTAAAGAACCCTTTTCCAACAGTGACCACAGCATGATTGACTTGTTTCAACATACGTCCACACAAAAATCAACACAACGATGTGATCCCCAATTATAACTTCAAAAAAGGCAACTATGATCTTATAGACAATGATCTCTCATCCCTTGATTGGCAATTTCTATTCTCTGGATGCAATACTGTAGAAGATCATTACAACGTATTTTTACTTGAAGTCAAAAGAGTCATCAAACTATATGTACCAATAACAACCAGAAAAAACAGATTACCCATAACAATAAGGAAGCTTCAATCCAAAAAGAGATCACTTTGGTGGAAAAACAAATCTGGTCACGTTGCCAACTTCAAAAGCCGATACAAAAATTTATGCCACCAGATAAAGACTGAATGCACCAATTATCATATTAAACAAGAGGAAAACCTACGCACCAATTCCACCCGCACTTTCTACAATTTTGTAAACAACAAACTAAAAGACTCAAGGTCCATCCCACCCCTGAAAGGACCTAATGGTAAAGATTGCAACGACGACACTATTTTTTTTTTTAAGCAAATTTTATTAATTTCAAAGACAAACAAATCATCATCAACCATTACATATTTGGACCTTTTTCCATTATAAATTTTACAAGTCAGATAAAACCTTATTTTATACAATACAATTCTATTTTAAGCCATTTCCATATGAGCATAAAAATACCTCTTATCCAATTTCTCTTTACTTCTCTTTACTCTTATTCAATTTCACTATTATTATTTCATCTATTTCTTTCTGACTTGATTACCATTATTCTCATTCTGTATTTCTACAAGGTTTTATTAATACTCTCAAAAACATAAACACACAACAAACAAACATATAAAAAATCTTTTAGGAAAGTAACTTGGCCCCAGGTACCTCTCTTTATATGGGCTTCAATTATATTCATGCTCATCTTACATATCATTACCTATTTTGTTTACCATTCTATATCTTCTATATAAACTTCTCCACACATTTCACTCTTCATAATTCTATCTTATTTAATCCATCTTAATTTAAATCATTATATTTGTATCTTTTGCCCATTCTTTATTATCCCTCTATCTCATTCCTTATAATGAAAAAAAAAAAAATTTCTCCTGAAATCACTAATCAGAGTATGATGCCTTTCTATCCTCCCCCTAAATTAATTAAATTAACATTTAAAATAACACCTAATACCCAATCTGATTCTGCTTGGTACATTCTATCTACTAATTTTTTTCTTTTAATAACAATAAAAACAGAGTAATAAATCCAAAATGATTAAATACATAGTTAAGTAATAAATCTAAATATTAAATCTTATAACATTCCCATTGCCTTTCCCTTTAATATTTTATTACATTTTAAAATCAATCATTATTAAACATTTCAACATTTTAATTTCTTATTAACTCTTAAGCCATTCTAATTTTCTATTTCTAATACAGATGTTACAATACCATCTTATGTACCTTGCAAAATCTTTTTTAAGGAAATTGTACTTTACCCTTTGTCCCTAAAAAAAATTCCTCTTTTCCCATCTAATTTCAAAACTTTGTGGCTTTTCTCCGCCTTTCCCCTTTCTTTCTTCCCCCACCAAATCTTCCTACCCCACCTTCTTCTAGCCTCTGCCTTGCTGGCATCCCTTCTCTGTTGTGTTCCCTTTTTCTTTTGTTTACTATCATTATATTTATTTTGCATCTTATTTTTCTCTTTCTTAAATGTTTTTTTAGATCTTAAGTCCTTCATTTTCCTCGCTTTCTTCCTTCTTTCTTAGTTAAATTTTGGAATTCATTAAAGATGGCGTCTTTGTCTTCTTCTTCTTGTTGTTCTTCTGCCTCCATCTGTTGTATTGTTTGTTGATAGTTAACCAACGCCATTTCTAAAAATAGGAAGGCTTTTTCCATACCATCTTTACCGGCTGCTTTTGTTTGCTCATATTCTTCCCTCAGTTCCTCAAAAGAAAAAGCCATTATAGATCTTTTCTTTTTTCCCTCTTTCTTCTTACACCAACCAAGATATTTCAAAAAAAGTAAAACAATCCCAAAATCCACAATCCTCAATCAATCCAAGCCAAGACAAAATTCTCCCTTTCTCTTCCAGGGGTAGTATCAGACAAAAGAAAAAAGAAAGTCCAAATCTGTATTTTGAAGCCTTATTGGAGTTATATTTCTGTCTTCAAATCCTTAAGGCATCTCCTCCAACAAAATCAAACCAGATGAATATATTTTTTGTCCTCTCCCTTCCGACTTATCCCATAAAGCTAGTTTTACCTGAAAAAAAAACAGGTTTCTCAATATCCACTTACTAATTCCGTCGGGAGGGAGAATAAACTTTCCTTTCAGCACCTCAAAATTGCCGCTTATTTTCTCTTGTGGAAAGAATCATCCAAAAAGCCATCATTTCCAGGAATTATATTAAATGTATCTTAGAGTCCTGGATCAACCAAGAAAACTTTCACTCTCAAAAGCTTTCTCCTCTTCCTCCTGCGCATACTTGCCCAGCTGCCGGCTTCTTTGTGGCGGCCATTGCGGACCGCCACTACACCGTCTTGGGAAAAGGGGGTTCTGCCAGCCGGGGAGGGGGTCTGCAACACCCCCAAACCCCTCTCCGGATCCCCCCTATCTTCAGCTACCCCTGCAGGGTAGCCTAGCTCCGGACCCGTCCGGATCGGAGCACCAAAAGCGGCTAGCGCGGCAGGGATCGCTCAGAGTCGCAAATCCCTGCCGCTCGCGAAGCCGACAAACCGGAAGTCAACGACGACACTATTAAAGCCAATCTCTTTAACACATTCTTTGGCTCAGTATTTGTTAACAGCAATGGATCATGCCCAGTATTTCCTAGTCGAACCACAGACAACTACAATGATCTAATACATATCGATTTTACAGTAGACAATGTTGAAAAAGCACTACGCAATCTAAAACCATCTCTATCTATTGGACCGGACAGAATATGTGCCTACTTCTTAAAAAAGCTATCTACTGCCATAGCCGAACGGACCAGGTCTTTGCCAAAACTATGGTCAGAAGCCACAGTCATCCCTATCTTCAAAGAGCCTAGTTGAAAATTACAGACCAATCTCTTTATGCTGCGTCACCTGGAAGTCATGGAATCAATTATTTACCAATCCATTATCCTCCACTTAGAGACAAACAACCTACTCTCTAATAAACAATTTGGTTTCAGAAAAAAACTATCCTGCAATCTGCAACTCTTACACTGCAAAAACATATGGACTATACAACTTGATCTGGGCAAAGCAATAGATGCAATCTACATAGACTTCTGTAAAGCCTTTGATTCAGTGGTACATGACAAACTACTCCTAAAACTAAAATCTTATGGTATCTCTGGACACCTGCATAACTGGATAGAAGCATTCCTGTCAAACAGACAACAAATGGTCAAAATTGGGAGCGTCCTATCAAATTCTGTACCTGTCAACAGTTGTCCCCCAAGGCAGTGTTTTAGGACCAACTCTCTTCATACTCTACATAAATGACCTCTGTGAGCATATTAAGAGCAACTGCGTTCTCTTCGCTGACGATGTAAAGCTATTCAACACCACAGACAATACTGCTACCCTTCAAAAAGACCTCGACTATGTATCAGAATGGTCAAACAAATGGCAACTTCAAATCTCAACAAATAAATGCTCTGTCTTACATATTGGCAAAAAAAATCAGAAAATAAAATACAGGCTGAATAGTCAAGACCTTGTTGATGATCCAAACTCTGTCAAGGATCTTGAAGTACTCACCTCTAATGACCTAAGTGCTAGAGCCCACTGTAACTACATAGCCAAAAAGGTGTTAAGAGTTGTTAACCTAATCTTACATAGCTTTTTCTCTGGTAATATTACACTACTAACTAGACCATACAAAACATTTGCTAGACCAAAACTGAATATAGCTCATCAGTCTGGAACCCACATTACATATCTGATATTAACACAGTTGAGAAAGTCCAGAAATATTTCACAAGAAGAGTTCTCCACCACTACTTGTTGCAGAACACCTTATGTCGCCAGACTTGAAATTCTATACCTAGAAGACCTAGAACTATGCCGCCTTCGGTCCGATCTAAATATAGTATATAAAATCCTACATTGCAATGTCCTACCGGTCAATGAATACTTCAGCTTCAACCATAACAACACAAGAGCAAACAATAGATACAAACTCAAGGTTAATCGCACCAAACTCGATTGCAGGAAATACGACTTCAGCAACAGAGTGGTCAATGCCTGAAATACTCTACCTGACTCTGTGGTTTCTTCCCCAAACCCCAAAAACTTTAACCTTAGACTATCTACTATTGACCTAACCCCTTTCCTAAGAGGTCTGTAGGGGACGTGCATAACCGCACCAACGTGCCTACCGTCCCTGTCCTATTGTTTCTTTTATATTTTTATATTTTTCTTATATGTATCCATGTGTTCATAACTATGTTTTTACTTATACCTATTATCTTGTAAGCAATTGACAAACCAAATCAAATAAATTAAAATAAATACTTTTACTCCTCATTATCCCCCCCCCCCTTTGTTTTGTTGGCTTCTGAAAGGCTCTTCCTCGTGACCTGGTTGAAGTGCTCTCTCTCTCTCTCTCTCTCTCTCTCTCTCAGTCCTGAAATTGTACCTGTAACATTCCTCGTGCAATTCACATGGTTCTCAAACTGCAGCAATTCTGAGCAGGTAACATGGGATTAGAGACCCAACTGACAGCCCCCCTCCTGTCTCAGGGACCGGCCTAAGGAGGTGCTGCCCACCTTGGATGAAGATTGAGCGTTTTCTTAAAGGAAAGGGGTGGGTGGATCTAGCTCCCTCTCCGGTCACTGAGACGGGGAAGCAGCCTTCGGTCCCCTCCACACGGACGGGGGAGAAAGCAGGCTTGGCTCGGTGTGTTGGCTTTCAGCTGCGGGTCAAACCCCATTTGGGGTTCCGCGTTTACCGTCACCGGGAACCTGACTGGGGGTGGGGATCCCATTCGAAGGCCGCCTGGACCGCCGGCTTCCTCTGAAGCAGCGGCAGCGGCAGCGGCAGCGGAGACCGGGGACTCTCCGGCCTATCGAGGCAGGCAGAGACAGAAAGCCTCCCGCTTCCCCCGCAGCCCCTGCCCAAACGGATCCCCGCGGCAGAGGTGGGGACCGGCAGGGAAGCCTGGGAGGAGGGGGGCCAAAGGCCTGCACCTTCCGCTGCCCGGCCTGAAGCGGCCACGGACCCGGGCAAGAGCGCCCCGGCCGTGCGGGGCTGAAGGAGCTGCCAGCGCAGAAGGAGCCAGGAGACCGAAGGGCGCCCCGGGGCGCTTGGCTGTGTCGGGGGGGCCCTTCGCGCCACCCGGCGGATCTCAGGGCCGCAGAGGGCGGGCGGGGCGTCCGTGGGCCGCTGCTCCGGCGCCGGGTCCTACCGCCACTGGGGGCGCTGTTGCGGCCCAGCCACCCGGAAGTGGCGCCTGCGGAGGCGAGCGCGGCGGCGGCGGCGGCGGCGATGGCCTCCAGCAAGCGGGTTCTCTACGTGGGTGAGCAGCGGCGGCGGGGGCGGGGGCGGGGGGGGGGGAGGGGGGCTGCTGGGGCGGCGCTCGGCCTGACCGGGCTCGTTGCAGGTGGGCTGGCCGAAGAGGTGGACGAGCGGGTGCTGCACGCGGCCTTCATCCCCTTCGGAGACCTCACCGACATCCAGATCCCGCTGGACTACGAGACCGGTGAGGGCCGGCGAGGGCGGGGCGGGGCGGGGCGGATGGCTGACACCCCCACCGGCCACCCTGCGGGAGAGGAAAGGCAGGCATCGCCCCGGGCCGAGAGCCGCGTTGCCTCGGTGGGAAGAGCGCAGAGCAAGCAGTTTGGAGCCGGGGGTCTTTTGGCCCAGCCCCCCCCCTCAGGCAGCCGACCCCGGCCCCCCCCCCAGACCAGGGGCGCCCCGGCCTCTCCTCCGAAGCCTCCCGTGATGGAGCCCCCCCTCCCCCGGCTCATTGCCCTCCTTAGTTCCAGGTTGCTTCTCTCCTTGGCTGGTTTCCCCTCCGTTGCTTCTGGTCGGGCCCTCCGGTGCTTTCGAGCAAGGGGTCGCCAACAGTTTGGACCTCAGGGACCACCAAACTCATAATTTTAGATCCCAGGGACCACTAACCGGCTCTGTGGGCGTGGCCTAATTTGTGGGTGTTGCTTGGTCATGTGACTGGCTGGACATGGCTTGTATGTAAATATTATAAATATATAAATATTGATTTTTTTATTAAAAAGAGCAACTTTTACCCAAAATCAGGCAAAGCAGGCAGGCAGATTGAGTTGCTCACAGAATCACAGATTCATTCAGAGATCTATCTATCTGCCATTGGCTAGCTCTGTCACATAAAATTTGCTTGCAAGCAAACTCACAAAATTAACTCACAACACACCATGCATGTAAATATTGAATTCTTTATTTTTAAAAAAGCAACTTTTACTCAAAATCAGGCAAAACAGGCAGATTGAGTTGCTCACAAAATCATTCAGTGATCTATCTGCCATCGGCTAGCTCAGACTCTCAAATTTGTTTGACGTGAGTCTGCACTGAATTTGCTTGCAAGCAAATCTTCAGTCCTAAGGGAGGTTTGGCTGTACTTAAAAGCAGAGCCGAAGATCTACAGACTAACTAGAAAGCAAGAAATCCAACCATTTTCTGCTTCCTAGCTAATCTAAATCTCCCAGCACAGCAGAACAGATGATGGTCGGAAAAAGGAAAAATAGAAATTTAACAGGCAAGTTTGCCAGGTAAGGAGTGCCACTCACTCCTTGCAGGGAGGGTTCCTGCAGGCCATGTCGGCTGCGCAGCCTTGTGTTTCTGCGCAGCCTGGATTAATTGCTCTGGGGGGATGCTCTGGGGGTGAGATTTCTCTGCGGCCCACCAAATTTTTCTGGGTCGTGGCCCACCAGTTGGCGACCGCTGTTTTGGAGGATAGGTGGACCCCTCCCTCTTCTTTGGGGAAGCCCCTCAAGTACTGCAAGGTTGCTTCCATGTCACGCTCGGTCCTCTTTTCTTTTTAAGCTAATATTTTTCTTTAACTTTCTCTTAAGAGAGATATGTTCAAAGATATTTTCAATAATTTACAAACTTTAGGATTTACTTAAACATTATATATAAAGGGAAAATACATTTTCAAACTTTAGATTAAAAATTTCAATTACAAATACCGATAAAAATACATCTTCCAATTGACTAAGTTTAAGTCACTCTTTCCAGCTTGTCTTCATGGAATAAAATCTTTTTCTTCTCTGGAATGTTTGTCAAGTAGTTAGTTATAAGTTTCTCTTTTTCCCAAGCATTTCTCAACCTTGTTAACATCCGTCAGGAAGAAGTCCCAAACTTGTCCTTTAAAAAGTTGCAAATTTTCTTGGAGCTCTTCTTTCAATTGTTGGGAGGCTTCTATTTAAACCATCATAATCAAAATTGGTCTAGGCTCAGGACTCTTCAATATCTGCATAAATGATTTAGATGAGGGAACAGAAGGAACTCATCAAATCTGCAGATGACACCAAGCTGGCAGGAATAGCCAACACCCCAGAAGACAAGCTCAGGATCAAAAAAAGATCTTGACAGGGTTGAGCAATGGGCCCTATGCAACAAAATGTAATGTAATGTGGAAAAAAGCAAGGTTTTACACTGGGCAGAAAAACCAAAGGTACAAAAGTACAGATTAGGTGAAACCTGGCTCAAAAACAGTAACTTGTGAGAGGGACCTTGGAGTCCTAGTGGACGATCACATAAACGCGAGCCAGCCGTGTGTGGCAGCAGCAAAAAAGCTAATACAGTCCTTGGTTGTATAAACAAAGGCATAGAATCAAAATCAAAATGAAGTATTAGTATCACTTTATAAAGCTTTAGTAAGGCCACACCTGGAATACTGCATTCAGTTTTGGTCGCCATTTTACAAAAAAAAAAACGTTGAGACTTTTGGAAAAAGTGCAAAGAAAAGCAACTAAAATGATTAAAGGCCTGGAAAAAAAAAACATATGAAGAACAACGGTTGCAGGATTTGGGTTTGGCTAGTCTAGAGAAAAGAAGGGGGGACATGATAGCAGTCTTCCAGTATTTGAGAGGCTGGGGTCAACTTTTTTTTTTCAAAGCACCAAAAGGCAAGACAAGAAACAATGGATGGAAACTAATTAAGGAGAGAAGCAACCTTGAACTAACAAATTTCCCAACAGTGAGGACAATTAACCGGTGGTACAGAAGTTGCCTTCAGAATTAGTGGGTGCTTTATCACAGGAGGCTTTTAAGAAAAGACCGGACGGCCATTTGTCTGAAGTGGTGTTGGGTCTCCTGCTTGAGGAGGGGGCTGGACTAGAAGACCTCCAAGGTCCCCCTCCAGCTCTGTTCTGATTGAGGTTGGAAAAGAGATTGTACAAACTTGGGTTGGGCAGAGTAAAAGGTTGGGTTCTGTCTTCGCTCCAGGATAGAAACTGGCTGGAGGCCAGCAGTGCCCTTATGCCCTTGCAACAGGTGGGGTGACAAGGAGACGGAGAGCCTCAAAATGGTGCAGCTGCTGCCGCGACTCTTCCCGCTCCTGACACCCATTTTCCTTTGTCAAAGGTCCAAAAGGTTTCAGTTGATTTCCATATCGAGGTGAATATTGAGGCCTGTCTCCTCAAGTGCTGACCTTTGTCGTTTCTCTTGTGTCTACAGAAAAACATCGAGGCTTCGCTTTCATTGAATTTGAGCTGGCCGAGGTGAGCCAGGAAGGGTCTTTCTCCTTGCTTGGGGTCAGGTGGGGAGGGTGGATCCCTGATAACTTGGAGGGACTGCACGGAATCCATTTGGGCAGGTGACATCTCTGGAAAGGGCACTGATCAATTCCCAGAGCATGGGTATGTCTGAAGGCCAATTTTGCCCAGACCTCCCAAAGGGGTCTAGTATTGAGAGAAGGTGCTTCCAAGCTGGCAAGGGACGTTTCCAACCACTTCCACCTTTAGCCCTGTTCAAACTTTGCTGTGTTTCTTTGCTATCAAAACTCCAAGCAGGGCACCAGCCAGGATTGGAAGGTGGCTTAGTAGAAGCTTCCCTAGCAACTTTTCTAGGGCCGTTTGCGTCCTTTATCCAGCTTGCCCACCTCGTGGCCAGATGATTTCTCTCAGTGCAGCCCTGGTTGCCATGAACACACCAAGGCGGAAGAGCGATTCTGTCTTAAATGTCTTCTGTCTTCTTTCTTTTAGGATGCTGCAGCTGCCATTGACAACATGGTACGTTTATCTTTCCATCTTTATTTTTCAGCAGTTTCAAACATTTTCCTTCTTTCTTCCCAAGTGGTTAAGATGATTAGGGGAAGCTGAGCCTTTCTCAGGGTTTTTTTTTTTTTTGGGGGGGGGGGGGGGGGCGGGGGGTGGTGAGAAACAGCAGGTCTTTCTCCTTGGCCTCCAAAAGTGGGCAACTCCTTTCAGGAAGCCGTGGAAGACAGAAGGCTTGGTGCCTCCTTGCTTTCTGCTCCTGGAGGAGCGAAGGCTTCCACTTGTTGGGATTTTCATATCCAGTTTTAAAACCAGGTAGGCAGAAGCCTCTTTGCCCCTGTGAGGGGTCCTTCCGTGGGGCCAGAGGGAAGTTGAAGCGGTGGAGACACATGATATGAACCTGGGTGCTAATGCACTGGAAGAAGGTTCCAGGAGATGGTTGCAGGACACAGAAACACAGCATTGAGACTGAGCTGAATTCCTTGGCAAGAACAGAACAGTGCAACAGAGTTGGAAGGGACCCTGGAGGTCTTCTAGTCCAACCCCCTGCTCAAGCAGGAGACCCTAGACAATTCTGGATATGGGCTGCAGTCTCTTCTGAAAACCCCCCAGGGATGGAGAACTCAACTCCTGGAGGCAATCCAGGCCACTGGTTAATTGTTTTTACTGTTAAGAAATTTCTCCTTGCTTCTCTCCATTAGTTTCCATCCATTGCTGCTTCTCCTGCCTTCTAGTAGGAAGTAATGGTGCCCCCCTCCTTTCCCTCTCCGTTTAGAACGAATCTGAGCTGTTTGGAAGGACTATCCGTGTCAACCTGGCCAAGCCAATGAGGATCAAAGAAGGCTCCTCCCGTCCAGGTGAGCAGCAGAAGGTCAGAGGGAATCTCCAGCCCTCGCACTTGGGCTTGTTCTGAGGGAAGTCCTCCGGCTCTCTTGGTGCTCCCTGAGCTTCTTCTGTTTTTCCATGACAGTCTGGTCAGACGATGACTGGCTGAAGAAATTTTCGGGAAAGACACTTGAGGAGAATTTGGAAGAAGGGGGAGCAGCGGCAGCCTGCTCAGAGGTTCAAGAGGTACAGGGGCATCTTTTGGCGAGAGGCCACTTGGCCCTGGGTGGTTTCTGCTCCCAAGACATTCATCTCATCCTAAGACCTTTTGGGGGGCTACGATAAAGTTGCATAAATGGGGGCTTCTGTGAGCTGGGCACAAACTTAGCCTGTGAAGCCTCCATGATTGGACATGAGCATGTGGTTGCAATATTTATTATTATCCTGCATTTTCTCCAGATGCTAAGACGGCATATATTCTCCTGCCAGCAACTCTGGGGCGAGGGGGGAACCGGAATCACCCACTGTGATTCAACAACTGGATTTGAATCTGGATCTTTCCAATCCATTGCTTAGCTCTGTAGCCGCTGCATCACAGTGGTTCCCATCTCCTTCACTTTCTCCGATGCTTCTTTAAAGCAGATAAAAGAGGAGGACGGCTCATAGATTGGGATCCATTTTTGGTTTCACGGAAGAAGCTCTGTTTCTCTTCTGTTAGGGAGAACCACCAGTGAAAAAATCCAGGACCAACCCCCAAGTTTACATGGACATCAAGATTGGAAATAAGCCTGCAGGTCGATTGCATATTCTCTTGCGGTCAGATATTGTCCCGATGACCACTGGTAAGCAGCAAAGGAATCTACTGTGCTTGGTGGGGACCTTCTTCAAGTTGCTCTTGTGTTATTGGAACCTGCAGTGCTAAGTCACTGTCCAGAGTTGGGAGGGCTCTGTCTCTGTTACGAGACAGAAAGAAATGGGTGGATAATTCAGACCCCTTTTCTCCAGGAAGGCTGCCTTCCTCACCCTGGATCTCTCCAGGGCTGCAGCTTTGGGGCGACCAGCGTGCCTGGAGATTCTCTTGGCTCTGGAGTTGTAGCCTGGAGGATGCCAAGCTGGGGAGTGTGGTTCCTTGTGCTGGGCAGATGTGTTGGTCACAAGAAGGTGATGGAAGCCACATCCTCAACATTTCTGGAGAATACAAAGACAGCAAATCAAGAAATAAGGTTGAATCACCAGATGCATGGCAGTTGCTCTGTTTCTGTGTGCCACAAGTGACCCCACTTAGAAGCCAGAAGCACAGATTTTTCACTTTAAGGATTTTATTTTTCATCACAAAATTTCCTAAGGCTGGTCTTGTGGTGAAAAAAAAATGTTTCTATTTTAAGAGTTCTGGCCTGTCCCAGAATTGTAGCAATATTTCTCCCCCACCTTGGTGAAGACCGGAGGATGTGGCTTTCCTTGCTCCTTTTCTAAATTTACAGGATTTCTGTTGAAGTGATTGTTCAGCACATTTCCCTCTATTTCTGTACATGCTGGATGCTTGAGGGTTTTTTCAAATCCTTATGAGCACAGTAGCTTTGAGCTTTTAAGTGCATAGGGTATAGTCATTTTGTAGAATTATCTCTGCAGACCTGTGATTTTCAATTAGAATAGATTTCATTAAATGCCACCTATTGTAATTAATTGCCTGTGTCAGGGTTTATAACTCTTTTATTGAGCCAAGCCCTTGGAAGATAGAGCTAAAGATCAAGGCAGAAAGATCAAACCTAAAACAAAGACACCATTAATTTAAGGAGGTGACAAGTGCCGAGATGTGGTGCTCCACTCCGGATCCCATGGCAGCACTTGGAAAATACTGGAATTCAAGAGAGCAACAGTAATGACAGTGAAACCGGGTGTTACTGGTTTTTTAGCGGTTGCCCTGACCCCGTTTTTAAGTGGGATGGTATTCTAAGAAACCCCACCTGCCATTTCTGCTGCTTCATTGCCCAACTTGCCCTTTGACTTGCAGAGAACTTCCGCTGCCTTTGCACACACGAGAAAGGCTTCGGCTTTAAGGGGAGCAGCTTTCACCGGATTATCCCCCAGTTCATGTGCCAGGCTGGAGATTTCACCAACCACAATGGTACCGGCGGGAAGTCTATCTACGGGAAGAAATTTGATGATGAAAACTTTATCCTAAAGCACACGGCACCAGGTAGAGTGTGGCAGGGCTGCTGAAAAGTTGGGGCATCCAGGTGCTTGGCAGCCCAGATGCCACTGCACCTGCTTTGCCAGTGCTTTGCCAAGACACCAAGTCCTTTTGCCCTGGTGGGCATCTCTCTTCCCTTCCCTTCTGCGTGGCTCAATTGCCCAGCGGCCCTGCCTCTGAGAGGAGTTGGTTCTAGAAAAGCCAAATTCCTCCGCAAGATTTCCACACAACTGACCCAACTGCTGGTTTGTGCATGTTTTTTTCCAAGCCTTTGAACCATTCATTCCATTTCTCCAACCCCGCTGAATAGAAGGACATGGTTGACTCTGCAGGCGCTGCAAGAATGATACTGCTGGGGGCTTTGTTCCCCCTCCCCCCCCAGCCCTTTTTTAGGGCACCAAGCAGGTTCTTCAGCCTTTGTCCTTGCAGTAGAAACCAGTAGAACCCCAAATCTGGCTGAATTTTGTTCCCCCAAAGTTCCCCAGGCAAAGTGGTGGGGGATACCAAACCCATGTGTCCCTGCAGGTTTGCTGTCCATGGCCAATTCTGGCCCCAACACCAACGGCTCCCAGTTTTTCATCACTTGCGACAAGACCGACTGGCTGGATGGGAAGCACGTGGTCTTTGGAGAGGTGACCGAAGGAATGGACGTGATGCGGCAGATTGAGGTGAGCAGGAGGAGGAGACTTCGTGGGAGAGCAGCCTGGCTTTGCCTTCCCCCCCCCCCCCCATCTTATTTCTCTCTCTCCCCCCGAAGGCTCAAGGCAGCAAAGATGGGAAACCAAAGCAAAAAGTCATCGTCTCTGATTGTGGTGAATTCATCTGAACGTGGCTGCAAGCAGACGCTGGTTGGGGATACAGGATAATGGGAAGAGACCAAACAGCCTCGCCTCGCTCTGAATGGAAACTGGGGTGCTTCTCTAAGCATTCAGTCTGACTCCGTATTATGTGTTCAGAACTGTAAAACTGGGAGAGATAACTTTTGTACATAATTTTCCCCCCATAAAAGTACACGTATTTTTACAAGACATCTGACTTTTAATTTCCCATAATTACTGTTAAAGGTTTACTTTGAATTGCTTACTCACTTAACAATATTGGTCTGGTGCAACCTTTCTCAGTCTTGAGTTTTGCATTTCTTTCCATGCTGGAAATTATGGAATGGATGTGTTTGCACATGGCAAGAAACCATGTGCTGCACACACTCCTTCAGGCAAGATCAGCTTCCACTTTTTGTTTTCATCGTGGGAGATGCAAGCTGCAGCCGAGGTGAATGGTGCCATGTTGTCTTTTTGCATCAGCACAAGGAGAACATGAGATTGGAACAAAAAGTGCCCTAAGATTTCTCATAGCTGCTCTTGAAGGGGGGAGGAAACCCTCGGATGAAGTGTGTTCTGGTTCTTCCTTTTACTTGTCCGCGGCTCAGTCTGCCAGGGAAACACTCCCAAATAAATTAAACACTATTCATGGTAGGAAGATTCCAACAAGGTATTGTACTATGGACAATTGCAATGTTGCAATAAAATTGACTGTGATTTCGTCAGTCGTGCAGTTAAGGCTCAGAAGTACTAAGTGGCTGGAAAAGGAGACACTGCCACTTTTGCAAGGACCTCTCCAGCCCCCAGCCCCCCCTCTCCCCCAGACCCAATAAGCCTGGTGTCTGCAGGCAGCAGAAGCGCAGCAGAAGGTGCCACATTTTCTAGCGGGGAGGGGGGGAGGGAGGCTCCATGGGAGGCGGAAGGGAACCAGGCAAGGCACTTGAAGCACCCCAGCAGCTGCAACCTACAGCTGGGCTCAGGGGGTGGGACAGACAGCAGCCCTCCCCCTGGATATCCAAAGCCAGGCATAGAAGCAGCTCCTCCCACCCACCCACCCGCCCGCCCCCCACATGCACACATCAGGAAAGCAGCCTTTGGGAGGGTTGGTTGTGTTGGGCTCCCTCCTCTCTCCTCCCTTTGGAGCTGCTGCCGGCTGCAGGGACTGGTAAGAGAGCCAATAGGGCCAGGGCCTCCATTAGCCCCTGCAGCCAGTCACCATTGGGCGTTTCTGCCCCAGTTTGTTTCTGGGAGGACTAGGCAGACAGCTGGGGACTACTGAGGGGCTGGGGGATTTCCCAGGGTGGAGAGCTGGGTGGGGGTGCCCATCAAAATAGTCCCAATGGGCAGTTGAGCCTCTCCCCTTTTATGTGTGTTGCAAATATGGCACATTAGAGGCAGAATTTGAGTCACACCATGATCGGAGCCGTCTTGACGGGTGGGCTTGCTGGGTGATGATTCAACCTGGTTGGAGGCTAGGCCTGTTGCAGAAAATTCCAGGCAGCTGCCACCTGCTGCCACCTGCTGCTCATCTAGGCTTCTGCAGCCCTAGTTTGGCCTTAAAATGTGGTTCAACTTCCCCTTGGGGTTAAGCCTTTGTCTGTCCTTGAGGTGATGTGTGTGGTCAAAACAGGAGCTGTGTGTTTCCTCGCTAAAGACTGTACTTCCGGAAGGAGGCTCTGCTTCAACAGACCTCGGGATCATCAGGGCATGAAGGCTTGAATTGCAGAGGCTCTTTGGTGCCCCCCCCCAAACCCCCCAACCTTCTTACAGCTTTGCATCAGGTGTGAACTGGAGGACCTTTTAATCCTGAGACGTAACGTTCCTGGTGCCTGTGGGACCTCTGTGATGGAGAAGAAACTCCGGGACAAACGGCCCCAAGGAGCTTTCCCTCCCTTTCCCCGGGGCTGAGGAAATCCTGCAAGGTTGGCATTGGGTACTAAGCAGAACAACTGCAATTTTGGAAAGCGATCTTGGTGGAAGGGCACAATAACAGCATCTTCTGGAGAAGTTGGCTGGCAAAAATTCCCAGATAAATGAGGGGAAGGATTTTTTTTTTTCTTGACGGAATATGTAATTATGGGTTATGTTGCCTTTGTGGGAAATGAAACATTGTCAGCCTGACCCTACAGAGCTCTGTTCGGAGGCCCCCCCTCTGGAGAAAAGCAGTGACCCACCGGGGGGGGGGATCAGATCTCGCAACGCTGGCAGGATTGAGTCATTGACACCGAAAGCTGACAGGACGGCTGAATTTGAGGCAAGACCTGTCCCCACACTGCAAGCCAGGCCAACCCACTACCTTCATAAAATCCAGACCATAATGAGCCCATTTAATTGAACCAGAGCTCTGGCACCAAGAAGCAAGTGTTGCTCGTGCGGGGGAAGGAACGTCTCTTGATCTGGAGGAGAATTAAGGTGCGTGGGAAATTGCACTCCCCGCCTCGCTGCTGCCTTCCCAAAGTGCTGCACGGCTCCGCTCTCAGCGGCCGAGAGAGTTCCCAAAACAGCAGCTGCAAAGCCAAAGTCCCCGGATCGGGACTTCCCTGATGAAATTGTGCCTGGATTAAAATCCCAGATTTAGGAATCAAAATGACTGGGTCCACACCACATAGTAAGGCGATCTTTTGTTGTCAAATTCTTTTGGACTCGATGTCAGGATCTCCAACGTTGGCCTGGCACCTTACTGGGTTCTGGTCATCAAAGGGGAACAGAGGAGGGAGGCTCTGGGCGCAATCCACACCTATGTATGTAATGGTGGGAAATGGGGCAGAGGGGGAGCGACAACGAAAGAAGACCAGATCACCAAACCGGCTGTTTGCCCTGAGAATGGAATGTTACCAGTTTGACACCTGGAGTTTCTCAAAACATCATACCAGCATCTGATTGGCTGGCTGGGGCTCTGGTCATTGGGGGAGGGATTGGGGGTTGGAAAAAACAGCTGTATGTGTTTTGCACCTGACTTCGCTGCAGCCAGTTTCTTTCAGCAACAAAAGCTCCTTCGCTTCAACTGGATGGAGTCCTGAGTCTTGCTTTCCTGATAGAGCAAACCGGGGCAGATCAGACACTTCAGTTGCTATCAGCCCCTGTCAAAATTTCCGGGAACTGTAATCAAAACCGGATGATTGTTGGCACTCCGGTTCTTTTATGGTGTTGGATGTAAATTTGCTTATTGACTCACATCCCATCTTGCACTGGTGGCAGGCCACCATGTGGACAGTAAGAGTTCAAACTTCCAAGTCATTATCAGACTCGGAAACTGGACTCCAGAGGACTTCTTGGAAGTTTCATGTGGATCAATCTGTCCCAATCTGGCATCTTCAGATGAGCTGGACTGTGATCAGTCCACTAATGCAAAAAGATGGGGAAAAATGACAGGCAGCAGGGAGGAAGAGGAACTGCTTAATTCCATCTTAGCATCTGTCTACACAAAAAGAAAAAACAGACCAACCCATCAGATGTAGCACAGTGGGAGACAGAAGGAAATTTCAGGTCCAAATAGCTAAGAAATTAGTCAAAGAACACCTAGCCGCTTTAGAGGAGTTCAAATTGCCAGGTCCAGTGGTTTATATCCCAGGGTTATGAAGGAGCTGGCAGGTGTCATCTCCGAATCACTGCAATCACCTCCCAGAGCCCAGGGGAACTGCCAGAGGACTGGAAAAGAGCTGATGGCACCCCAATCTTCAGGAAGGGGAGAAAAGCAGATCCAGAAAACTATAGACCGGGGTAGTCAACCTTTTTATACCTACCGCCCACTTTTGTATCTCTTGTTAGTAGTAAAATTTCTCTAACCGCCCACGGGTTCCACAGTGATGGTGATTTATAAAGTAGGGGACAAAACCCCTACCGCCCACCATGAAAGCTGGAACGCCCACTAGACCAATAATCCACATCTCTGAAAATCCTGGGAAAGATAATCAAGCAGTGGATTTGTGATAAATGAGCAAGGCAATTACTAGAAGCCACTTTTAAGTGCCCTGACACAATGGCTACTCTGCTCCGTTTTTCCTGGGCAGGTTCTACATATCAGCACGCTGTAGGGTAGTCTGTTTTGCTTTTGGCAAAGCACATGTGTGCTAATAGGTCATGAGGGATTTTAAAACGTTAAAATTTAGAATGATATATTATGCAACTGTAGAGATTGAGTAGATTGACATTTGAAATTAGAGAACAAGATGATAAACAATTTTATAAAATTTGGGATCTTTTCTATCAATGGTTAGACAATAAAATACAGTAATGAAATACATAGACTTTTGGAAAATAATAAATATATAAAGATGTACTTTTTCTTATTATATCTACAAAATGATTTTAGGATAGATCCTGTAAAACATGAATGAATAAAAGTATAGTCAAATGATTGATTAATAATGATACTAAGGTATTTAATTTTTGATTGACAATATGAGATCATATGCAATGTAATTGTAATTGAAGACTATGAAATGGAAGCACAAAACAATTTGTAAACCAACCGGCACACTGTATGTACACCTATGGAAGACAGCTTGATGTTTTTATGTTTTGTTTGTTTATGTTTGTTTTTAAAAACCAATAAAATTTATTTTAAAAAAAAGAAATAGTCTAAGAAATATTAAAAAGGCAGAACATTGTATTTCTCTGGATGAGAAAAGGATAAACATGTTTTTAAAAATAAAGAGCAGCTCCCTGTGGCTCCCTGCCCCTCCTTCAGCTCCAGGGTGATGGGATTAAGACATGGCCCTCAGGACATAATAGGATTAGCCCTCTTATCCATCTAACAGCAGGGCTCATTGCATTGTGAAATCACCTGGGGACATTATATCAGTCCACAGTTCAACCAAACTTATCTCAGACAAACTCCTAGGATTTGCCTTTACAGCAACCAATAGGATACATGCCCTTGCCACAGGAACAGGAAGCTCAAGGTCAAAGCCCAAGAGAGGGTATAAATAACTCTCCAGTCCATGTGGTCAGCTACCCAGAATCACACGTACTTGGTGATTCTGCTTCACCATTAAACCATCCTTCCAAGCAGCGTCCAATGTTTCCAGTGTCTTTCTCCCCACTTGGAACTGAATCCAGATGGACATTTCTTCCAACACAACCAGTAGTTCTGTAGACTATCATATTCAAATGGAAGTTTAATTTTTTTTTTAAATTATGATTTTAGTTCTATCATCTTAAAACAAGCAGTGGGGAGTCCTTCACCATACCCACAAAATTTTGGGACTTTTTTATGACTAACATAAAACTCACATTATTTTGAGCCCCGTTACAGAAGCATGTCTAGAGCAGTTTTAGGTAACATGCCACTATCAGACTGCTCCTTCATTTGGGCAGCAAAACAAAATGCTGCAACGGATATTTATTCAAATTGCTTCATTTCCTCTCTTCTTTCCATTTGCAAATTCCTCCCTTCCAAACTCAATAGCATTGATTTTCTTAAAAAGTTTGTGCTACAATTTGTGCATATTTCTCCTTTACATATTCATTTGCAATCTGATTTAATATGCATTGTCTAGAAGCAATTCTTCTTAGTTAATGTATTACATATCCAACTTCTATGCAAGATATATATTCCATTTAATATAGAGATATCCTTTAAACGTTGCAAGGCAAAATTTAGAGAGGTATGAATTTCTAATGATCAATGTGATTCTGTTTGGTATGTTTGCAAAATGTGAAATTAGGTAACTTTGCATTTATAAGCAGGCTAAACTGTTTCCCCCCCTGGCCTCAACCTCTCAACTGCTCTCTCTCCTCCCCAGTTGATCAAGGCCTGAACTGGAAGGCAGACTACCTTCTGAACCCCCTTCTTGCCCTGGGGGGGTCTCTTCACCTGGCAGAATTGACAGGGGCAGCTGCTTTGGGAGAAGTGGGAATGCCACAAGGTGCCAATGTTGGTTTACGCCAAAGTCTCTGGGCACCTGTGACAGGGCTCCCTCTGGATCGCAGCCACGTGAGAACAGAGCAGAGGTGGGAAGGAGCTGCCAAGGAAGGGCCTGGCTATGGCTCTGCTCAGGCCCTGGAAATGGTGCTCTTGGGACCAGGAAGGCTTGCCAGCTGCAGAGAGCTGCCCACATCTGGGATCCCTGCAAGCAGCCACCCCTCTTGCTTGCTGCAGAATTTGGGCTGTTTGACGGACTGCAGCTGCCTTTGCACACAGTAAGTCTATTTGAAGTGTTTGGCTTAATGTGATGTGTGGTGCAGGATCAGGGAAGGGATGGGGGAGGCCAAAATACAAGCCCGAGCAATGTTTGCAGCCTGTTCCTCTCTTCCTTTCCTTGGCAAAGCGGCTTCTTGGTGGGAGGCTGTTTGTTTGGTTAAGCGGCAGCTCCTCTCCCGGCAGCAGCGACAGGGCCCGGTTGCCCACAGGTGTGGGACTGGCTGGCCTCCTCCGTCCCAGTCCAGGGGGCAGTGGAGGCCCCTTCCCTGCTGTCTTTTCAGAAGCAGGCAGCAACCCTGGTCCCCCAGAAAGGTCCTGGGTCGGCCGCAGCCTTAGTGGCAACCGCAGGACTTCACCACCATGTTCCGCTTCTTCCTGAGGATCACGTTGTTGTTGCTGTCATAAAAGAGGACAAAGATGGCGCTGAGCTTGGTGGGGGCACAGCAGGCCCTGGGGACGGCTTCGGGCTTCATCAGGTGGACCTGTGAGGAGGGGAGGAAGAGGGTCACCAGAGCAGGCAGGCAAAGCCTCCCACGGAGCCTCCTGCAGGGCCGAGCTTCTGGCCTGGAGCAGAAGGTCCAACCCTCCCCAGACCCCCCCCACCCCCACCCCCACTGCCCCCTGGCCGCTCTCCACAAGGAAGCGGAAATGCTTCAGAGAAACCCTGGCTCCCAGGAGAAAAAGCAGCCGTTTCCATGAGTGGCCGTTTGTCAGCACTGGCAAAAATATTTCTTCCCCAGGCTTTGATGGGGAGGAACAGCGGCTGCCTTCAAGTCCCAGCGGCTTCCTGATCTCGTCTGTGGCAGGAGGAGCAGGGCCTCTTCCACGCTGCCACTGGCGCTGGGCTGACCACCGAGGGGGCACAGTTCTTGCTAAAACTGGGGTAGGCTGTGTGCATACACCCCCCTCCCCCGGGCCAAACAAGCCACCAACAGGCCAGGTTGCCACCTGCAACTTCCCTCTCTCCAGCAGCCACTGCTGAGAGGGAGGCAATGGAAGGTTGTTGCCGTGGGTTGCGTCCACAATTCTCTTAAAAAGTGGGGATTATTCAGCTGTGGCAGCCTTCTTGACCAACACTCCACAAGTGCAGAAGGAGATCATCTCTGACCCGTGAATTGGTCCTTTGGGGAGCTCTTTGCCCCTAGCAGGCGGAGGCTTCCCCAACCTCACGCAGGCGAGACCAACCTTGGCCAGGCAGCTTTTTCCCTTGGGGCCTGGGGGAAGAAATGTGATTCCCCGGGACGATTGGAGGAGGGCTCCAAAATGGGACAAAATACGGGCCCTTGGTGTGCCACTGGACTCCGGCTACCCTCCTTTGAGCAAGCCCCTGTTGGAAGGGGATCTTGGTGAAGGGGAAGAGGGCTGCTCTCCCATCAATAAGGGCTTGGGCGGAGACGCCCCTCCTCCTTTCAGCCCTGGAATTCTCCGGGGAAGAGCTGGGGCAGCGGAGGGGAGAAGGCGCTGGAGCTGCCCAGGAGGATTTGGGGCCAGGCGCTCCTTCCCAGAGGGTTGTTGTGGGGAAAACTGGGGGAGGGGGTGCCTTGTTTGTCCCTTAGAAATCCTAGAGGAGAGGCAAGAGATAAATCCAACAGAAAATAGTGCAACAAAATAATACAATAGATTGCTGTCCATCTTCTCCAGTTGCTAAGAAGTCTTCCTGCTGCTTCCCACAGGAGATACTGACCAGCGACTGGACAATGGCGTGGTTGGTGGCATTCATGGAGGAATTCAGGGGAAAAACACACTCTCCATCGCAGTAGAATGCGGGATAACTCTGCGGGGCGATCACCCAGTCCTGGGGGAGGATAAGGACGAAGGTAAGTCCCTCCACTCCTGCCTGCAGCTCAAAGGAGACTGATGGGGAGGGGGGCAGGACAGTGGCAATTTCCTGAATCGTCTGATACCAGAGATACCAGAGCAAGAAGTTGTGAGGGGTTTTCAAGAACAGCTATTTGTCTGGAATGGTCTAGGAGGGTCTCCAGCTCGAGCAGCGGTTGGACTAGAAGACCTCCGAGGTCCCTTCCCACTCTATTACCCCGTGGTCGGGGGGGGGGGGGGGGGGGGGAGAGGTCAACACGTTACTTTCACTTCCAAAAGGTTGACCCTCAAGCTGAGCCGAGCAAGCAGAGTTGCGAGGGGCCCTTTCCTCTTTGACTGGGAAACAGGCCCCGTCTGGCCTTAGGCCCTTCCCTTTCTATGAGCCAGACGAGAGCCCCCCGGGGGGGGGGGGGGGCAGGCAGGACGGGCAGAGGTGCCTGCCGGTTGGTATTTTCTGGGGACTCAAGAAGAACAGGGTTAAAAATGGTTACCAGCCAATCAAAATCTTGAAACTTGACGTTCAGCTCGTGCCTTCTGCAGACCTGGCTCTGCTCAGAAACATAGACATCATCTAAGGAAGGAAAAAGAGGAGGGTCTTTCCGTTACGGAGCTGCGCAACCAACGCTCCACGGTGGGATCGCCAGCCTTTTTGGTCCTGGGACCTCCAGCTGCCCTGCCCCACAGCCTACCCCTGCCGCTCTGGGAGATCGAGGCCGGCAAAGGCTTGGCACCAAGCGTGGCTCCATCCCTGCCCACGGCTGCTTCCCTGTGAGGCAGACCTCCCAGGCCGTGGCACTGCCTTCCAGGGCTGCCCTCTGGGGAAACCTTCCTGGGCCACGGAGCTCCCCAAAGGGGGGCAGACTTGAAGAGGCACCCGCTGAGCTGCCTCCGGATGCGAGGATTGGCTCTGCAACTGCACTTTGTTAACCTTTCAGGCTTTCAGGTGGGCCAAGAGGGGCGGGGTGTGTGTGTGTGTGTGTGTGTGTGTGTGTGTGTGCTGGGCTGGCCGTTCTGGGAATTGGAGCCTTTCCCTTTGCCCACCAGCCAAAGAACTGCTGCCTGCTGCAGGCCATCAGATGGAAACAGTCATAGCTCGGCCCACCTGCATGCCAGGTACACGGCTGCTCTCAACTTCCTTCAGGGTTGGGGAGGCTGACAGGTGCGAAACACGTGTGTCTTCCATGTGTTTGGGGTACATTTGAGGACCAAGCAAATTCTGCTGAAATCCGGAAGGGGTGGGTGGGGCTGAATTTTTCCTAGGCAGCCCAGCCAGGGAGGGCGACAAAGCTGCAGGTGGAAGAGGCCCCTCCTGCATCTCCACCCAGACTTGATCGGTGGGAAGGAGGGGGTGATGTGTCTTGGGGGGGCAGGAGCAGATCCAGGGTGTCCAGAATGAGGGCAGAAACATCTGGAGGGCAGCCCAGGGGTGTGATTGAGGCCCCCCTCCCCACCTGTTTCTAAAGGTGTTGTGCACAAAACAGGTGGGGCTTTGATTGCGGTGTCGCCATTTTCACTTTTTGGGACCGGACCCTATGATTAGCTTGGTCCACCAGTCGTCCTCCCTTCTTTCTGCTTCTTACCCAAAAGCCCTGGGAGCCTGTTGGAGTGTGGGAAGCTGTAGGTCTTCTTGGGCCGCCGTTTGGCCTGCTTGGCTGCTCGAGGGAGCCTGACCTGGTTTTCACTCTCCTGGAAAAAGGTCACCACGAAGGGATGCTTGGAACGTGGTCCGTGGCGACCCAAGAGGCCGGCCAGTCCGGGGTCCACACTCTCTCCTTCAAAAGCCAAAGAACAAACCCCGATTAGGCTGCCAGCCAGACTGACAATGGAGCTCCTTCCCTCCCAGCAGGACTCCCACACTGGGGGGGGTGGTGAGGGCTGGAGAACCCATTTGCAGGAAGAGGCTCCAGGGATGCCCCCTGAAGCACAGGGCGGAGGAGGGGGCTGCAGCGGTCATGGTGTGTGTGGGGCGTCTCCTTCCCTCAAAGCATCTGCCTCTAGCACAAAAGAAGGCGGGAAGCAGCGTCTCTGCTGACCTGTCCTAACACTACGGGACTGCCAGTTACCCTTTGGGCACGATTTCCAAAGAGAAATGCAATTCCCAACACATTTGTTTGACCTTAAAGCCTTTCAAATGAATTGGGTTACTACTCTATCGGCTACTTCTTCTTACCATTGTTTTGCACAATATCGGGACAAAATTTAGTCTCCACAAAGATTGCAAGTCTAAAATTTAAACAATGAAAAGATACTAGGAAGCAAGAATGAACTAATTGAATAAGAATACTTTGTGCTCCCTGAAAACATGACTGACAAAGAGCAGGAGATAGAAACTTCTAATTAATGCTGCAAGGGTCTAATTAATGCAAGGATAACAGTTATTTCTGAATAAACGTTGTAGAAGGGAGTGGGAGTAGGCAAGGGGATGATGTAGTACAGTACTGTTTTAACTGCCTTGGAGAATGTCTGTTTAATTCAATCCCTAGCTGGTTGAAGAAAACCTCAGCAGAATTACGGAGCAATAGGGAAGCAGCAGCTTTTGATATCTTCACATATCAACGTTATTGTCCATTCTTTTAGATCAACGGTCCCCAACCTTTCTGGCTCCGTGGACTGGCAGCAGCAGTGGCGGTGATGGGAGGGAGGGAAGGGGTTCGCGCATGCCCACCACTTGCACAAATGAAACTTTGCCGCTCGCCCGCCCCTTGCAAGGACCGGTTCCCAACAGGCCGCAGACTGGTACTGGTCCACGGACCAGGGGTTGAGGACTCTTGAACTTAGATGAACCAAAGTTTCTGTTTACTAAGTTGGTATCTTCTCCCTCTTACCTGCAATACCCCACGAGTGTTTCCTCCCTTCAAACAGGAAGGATGGAAAACTAGAATGGGCAAAACAATACACGAGCCTTACCATCCTCTGTCTCCACGTAAAGTCTCAACCCCAAATTGTACTTCCGGTTCAACAACCAGTGGTTGCTAGCAGCTGTGACATCGAAGGTCAGCCATCCGTCCAGGCCAGCCAGAAATTCCTGAAGGTCTAAGAACATGAGCTCAGATTCCCTGGAGGAGCAGAAAGCATATCGGAGCCCCTCAGGCTCACATGAAAGGGGCAAATGGGCAGGTGTCACCGGAGGGCTTTAGCTCTTGTGTGGTTTTAAAAAGGAAGGAAGCCAATCCCACCCACCCATCCCTGGCCTTTGAGCAGCGCCTTACAGGCTGAGAGAGCCGCTCTTGGGTTGATCCCTTCCAGGCGAAATGTTTAACCAGGGAAACAGTGGCTGGAGCCACCGCCCAGTCACTAAGGCCTGAAATCAACAGTTTGGGTCTCTTTGTACCTGTTTGGGTGCTCCTGGATGACCTCGTAAATGCTGATGTGAAGGGTCTGATTAACATGGCAGGTGTAACTTTTCATCTTGTAGATTCGGAATTCCGCCGCCATGACAGTCTCCCCTGTTGGGATCTGAGTTAAGTCGAACCTGAATTCTTTCCAGTAAGGCCTCTTCTGGAAAATGCCTCTGTCCAGCTCCACTGAATAGAGTTGCACACATCAAAAAAGCAAAGGCGTTTATTTGGCTTCCATTATTTACATTCTCTGCTTCAAATAAACTCTCAAAGTACAGATTTACAAACTTTTAAAAGTAACATCCAAATTCAACTAATAATAATGGTTAATTAAAAGCAACGCAGTAGACTAATATATACATTTGGAAGGCTAAGAGAAAGTGAGTGGGTCGGACAAATTTTAGTCGGACAGACTAAAATAATGATATCTACCTTGTAAAAAAAGAACAGTTGATTGCAAATATGTATAAGAAAGCATGCGATGTGGTTGCATAAAAGGCAAATGCAATTATAATCTACTGAATTAAAAGTTTCCAAAATTAGGATTCTACTATATATTATAATTTGGGTGGGAAAAAATGGTGAAGTTACTGGGCTAGAAACCAGGACGCTGTGAATCCTAATCCTGCAACAGGCATGAAAGCCAGCTGAGTGACTTTAGGCCAGTCCCCCTCTCTCAGCCCACAATGTCAGGCTGTGGAGACAATTAAATTGTTCTTGAAACCAATGGATCAACACCCGCTTGGTCTGAAAAAATTGGACCTGCATTTACAGGGAAATGCTTGAAAGAAAGAAAAAAAACAACCTACAATTTGAACAGGAAAGACAACCATAAGGCAGAGATAAGGTTACTGTAAAATCTCTTTTAGGGAGCACTCTTCGCCTACTGCTCTACAGCAGAGGTCCCCAAACTTGGCAACTTTTAAAGACTTGTGGACTTCATAAGCATAGCTGGCTAGAGAATTCTGGGAGTTGAAGTCCACAAGTCTTAAAGTTGCCAAGTTTGGGGACCCCTGCTCTACAATAATACCTGTAAAAACCCTGAGATCAGGTTCTGATCAAACAGGTGGATTTTTCTGGATTGTCTCTCCCAGTTTGCAGGTGACAGGAACAAAGTAAGCAAAAGCGAATTCCTGTTCAGAGAAGTTTACAGTTTGTCAGGTCTGCCATCATATCACTTCAGCTCTGATTCTCTTAAAACGGCATCCTGCCATAAAAGGAGGGAGGGAGGGAGGAGTAAGGGGATATGGGGGAGGGGGAATGACAGGATGACAGGAGCCAGAGGTGCCAGTCCAGAATAGAGCCTGGCAGATCCAAGGACACAAATGGGAGAACAGCTGGTCATTTGCATTCTTTTAAAGCACCGTTGGGGTCACTTGAAGGTTTTTCTGTGTCCTCCAAGTGGCCTCCATGACTCACTAAAAGAATGCAAATTCTGTCTGCAAGGAGTATAAATCTTTCCATTCCCCATCATCCAGTCAGAGCTGAGAAGCTAAACTTCTTCAAAGAAAAACCAAGGGAAAAAACACCTTTGGGACAACTGTGACCTGGAGGACTGAGAATCTCCGTATTCTGCCTGTCCTGTACCAATACTGTACAAAGGCAGAGAGATAAACTCCACAAAGCATCCATACAAAGTCTTTTTTATTGGTTCATCAGGCATCCTGTCAACTCACATTTATGACGAGGTTCTTCTTAATGTCCAATCCTTTGCATATCTGAATTGTGGTGTAGGAAGATAAGGTTTCAACCCCATGATGATTGAAGCAGCCGCATGGTAATGGCTTCAGGCAAGAGTGAGGGAGCCTCCCCCAACCCAACAAGGGTCAATTTAGTGACCAATCAGGATTACAGATGTGACCACATGACATGGACTACATTTCCCAGGATACCTTAACTACATTTACATTTACATTTACCCTTAAGGGGACAGCTCACAATTCCTAACTAACGATTCCAAATCCCATTAACTCTAAACTGTCTGGACAGCACACTCCCTGCCTGGAATTGTATATTCCACCAACTAAGCAAAGAGCAATTAACTAAGATAAACAGTAAAGAGTAATAATAACTGAATAGCAGATAACTATATAACTAAAATAAACAGTTACCTATATAACTAAGAGAAACAGTAAATAGCAATAAAGCATCAAACAAAGCAAAGCATGCAAAGCTTGAGGTTCAATCTTCAAGTTCAGCCTTTCTCCGCAGCAATACAAGGTCGGTGACCGGTCTAGTGTAGAGCTTCTTGGTGCAAGTCTGCTGGTCATCTCTGGCGGCCTTTTAGGGTTGACAGGTACTCTTGGTGCCAATGGTGAAAGTCTGGTGGTCGCTTCTGGTGGCCTTTTAGGGTTGGAGCGGTACTCTTTCTTCCACGGTGTCGAAGGGCGTCGGGAAGGTGTTGGAAAGGGTGTTGCAGAGGCATATGCCCGTGTAGAGTGTCTTAGTGAACGTCTGGTGGTTGCTGGCGGCTGTTTAGGGTGTCCTAGCGAAAATGTACTGGTCGGCGGTGGCCTTTTAGGACTGACAAGTCCTGAGATTCCCCAACCCAGGTCTGTCTTGATGGCAAAGGGTGAGTATCTCGGGCCTCTGACTACTTCGGTGTGCGCTAAGGCATCAGGGGCATCGAATCCCAGCAAGAGCAAAATCTTGGCTTCAGGATCGAGGGCGGGAAATAGATGAGCCATACGCTTCAGGTGAGGTATGTTGCTAGCTACCTCTGGTGTTGCAATGCGGCTGCGGTCATCTGGTATCCCATTCCATTCCAGCAAGGGTGGCAGTAGGAACTGGGAACTTCCATCTAATGACTCCATACAGAGTCCAGTAGCTTCCTTCCCTGCCGTGCATCTTGGTGCGGTGCACGTTGATATCGTGAAGTGCACTTCTTCCTTCTGAACATCAAAGAGGTCGAAGAATGCGGACCTGGCGAGTGAGCGATCGCTCTGAGGATCCAGTATTACATACATCTTTACTGCTTCTTCTAGGCGTCCATCTGGGTAGACTTTGGCTAAGCAAATCTGACGACACGAGCGAGGGGCTGGTGTGCCATTGCACACCACTATGCAATTAACACTCACCACTGGCTCTGGGTGTGCTTCTGTAGCACGTTGAGGCTCCTTGTTGAAAGGAGGGCGACGAGATGTCTGCAGTGGTGGATCGGCGTCAGGATGAAGCACGGTTGGATGCGTGTCACTTTTGCAGATATGACATTGCACTTTGGCTGTGCAGTATTTGGGCGAGTGCTTGGATTCGCAACACTTGTTGCAGAATTGGAGCTCTTTTATCAACTCTTTCCTTTTGGACAGGGATTTCGCCGCAAACCCCTGGCACCTGTTCAGCGAATGTCGAGTGTGGCGCAAAGGACAAAACTGGCTTCTCTTTGGAGTCGGAGATATAAATTGGGTTGTATCTGATGAGTCCTCTCCAGAACTGTTTATGGGTGAGGAGTCGATCTCAGTTTTATGGACAACCATGAAGGGTTTTCTCCTTGCAGTGGACGATACATAGTTGCTGTTGTATCTTTTTTCATTGGGAGGACTAACAGCTCTGAGTCCGTGGGCCCTGGGGGTGTTGCACGCTGTGGCCTGGTAACCTCGTCATAAATGTGAGTTGACAGGATGCCTGATGAACCAATAAAAAAGACTTTGTATGGATGCTTTGTGGAGTTTATCTCTCTGCCTTTGTACAGTATTTGTACAGGACAGGCAGAATAGCAGGAAGATAATAAGGTCTCAACCCCATGATGATTGAAGCAGCCGCATGGTAATGGCTTCAGGCAAGAGTGAGGGAGCCTCCCCCAACCCAACAAGGGTCAATTTAGAGACCAATCAGGATTACAGATGTGACCACATGACATGGACTACATTTCCCAGGATACCTTAACTACATTTACCATGATGCATTCCCTTAAGGGGACAGCTCACAATTCCTAACTAACGATTCCAAATCCCATTAACTCTAAACTGTCTGGACAGCACAGACCATACCATTGTACAGTTACAAAACGACCGAGGGGGGAGAGCCTGGGAGAAGGGAAAAGCACTAAGTTTATGTGGGAATGTTCAGATCTGCCTTTGCTTATGCTGTAACCACTTGGTATTAGTAATACTTTTTGCTACAAATGGAGCGGAGAGTCTCTGCCCAAGCTGGGACAGGCCTGATCCAGAGAGAATTTCAGGTGAGGAAAAGGCACATATAAGAACTAAGATGAGGCATCAAACCTTGGCAACTTTAAGATTTATGCACGTCCCCAGCCAGGACTCCTAATTCTGGGGATCGTGGGAGTCTCGAAATTGCCAAGACTGGACACCAAGCGATGGAAGCTACAGTGCCTGTAAAGTCCCAGTTAAGGACAAAAGTGGCCACATAGAGCGTCCTTGTGGTTGTGAGCAAATATAACAATTGATAAGAAAGGTGTGGGGGGAAGGAGGCTCTAATATGAGGGCCGAACAAAGTAACTAACAATGGGCTCCTGAGTCTAAGAGCGTAAATTAATAGCAGCAACTCAAAGGACGGTGTGCCATCCAGAGCCCCCTCAGCCTACTGACAGCAAGAGAGCTTCAACTTCTGCTACAGGGTCCAGCTCCGATTCTGTGTAAGATGGAGAGGTTCAGTGATGAGCCCCATACAAGGAGAAAGCTAGCTGTATAGTGCCTCCTAGTGGTCAGCAGCTAACATAACTACATACAAGAAAAAGCAAGTAAATGGATTTCTACCTATTTATTTTTAATTCAAATGAAATCCTGCAAGAAGACCCCATATCCCAGATTCAAATGTATTCTTATTCCAGCATGTCAAGGTGTCTTTGTGGGAAGAAATAACCACAGGGAGGCAATGGCTTCTCCAGTGCAACCCCCACCCCTGGGGAGGGGGAGATCTGACCTCAATTCAGGGACTGCATCCCAAATGTGGTGCCCCCCCCCAAGCAAACGCTTCTGGCTGGACCCTGGAAGAAAAGCGCCGTCTGAAAAGGAGGATTTACAACAGTGTTTCTCAACCTTGGCTACTTTAACATGGGTGGACTTCAAGTCCCAGAATTCCCCAAAAAGCATGCCCAGCCAGCATGTCAGTCATGCTGATAAACTTCAAAAAAAAAGGGGGGGGGAATGGATCCAGGAAACTACAGACCAATCATCATCATCAATACCTGGGAAGATCTTGTAAAAGATAATCAAGTAAGAGATCTG